ATTTGGCTTGTTCCCAAACGTCATAACATGTGCCATACGATCGAAAAATTTGTTTTAAAGAAGATTGGATGGTATTCTTGAGAACCATACATATATGAGCATCAACTTTCTTCCAACGGACACGATCATTGGAAGGAACATCATCTACCTTGGTAGTAAGATGATCAACATACCCCCGACTCTCAAGCCAAAGTCTAATATCGGATGCCTAAGTTGCATAATTCGTACCATCTAATTTATCAATAGGTAAATTCACATTGACATAATTAGTAAAAACAGATTGCTCGGACTCACCGGAGTCGACGGAGGTAACGTCGAATTGGAAGTGGCAGTAGAAGATGCCATGGAGGAAGAGAGAAAAACCCTAAAACACCAAAGAGGTCCGATTGGAGCAGACGAGGACAGATCCAGAGAGAGGAGAAGGAGGCAACGCCGGCGCAAAGATCGGCGGCTCGAACGGCGGCGAGACGCCGCGCCACGCGCGGCGGAACGGGAGAAGGTGGCGCGGCTTCGGAGGCGCGTGAGGGAGCGTGGCCGCTCCGATGACCGCGAAACTTCCACGGTGGAGGTCGCACGGGGAGGCGAGCAAAACCTCGTGCTCTGCAGTCCGAACCGCTACTCTGGCGACGGCGATGGCGTGCGGCATGGCGGACGGCGGTGGCGACGGCGGCGGCGATGGAGGCGGCGATACCGCAGTTCGAGTGGCGAGCCGAAAAAATCCCAAGAGACCTTAAGCTCTTGATACCATGTAGAATATAGGAAAAAACTCGTATAGGGTTAATTTTCCTTATGTATTTACCACACATAGGGCGAGTGTATTTATAATAAAGAAAGGTACTCCTCAAAAGAGTAACAAAATACAAATAGAGTAAATAAAAATATATTATTTGATATTGTGATTAACAATATCTAACAATATCTCAACAATATCAAACAATATCAACTAATATCTAATCATATCTAACACTCTCTATGGTCTCAAACAATCTCCACATGCTTGGTTTGGAAAGTTTAGTCACATTGTTCAAAGTTTTGGATTAAAACGAAGTGAAGCAGATCATTCTGTTCTTTATTATATTGCTTCAGGAAAATGTGTTTATTTAATCATATATGTAGATGATATAGTCATTACAGGGGATGATGTTGATGAAATTTCTCTGCTAAAGAAACATTTATGCAATCACTTCCAAACTAAGGATCTTGGTTGTCTCAAATACTTTCTAGGGATTGAAGTGGCTCAATAAAAAAAGGCATCGTAGTCTCCCAAAGAAAGTATGCTTTAGATATCCTGAAAGAAACAGGCATGATTGATTGTAGACCAGTAAACAACCCTATGGATCCAAATCAGAAGTTAATGACGGATCAGGGTGAACTGCTCTATGATCCTGAGAGATATAGAAGACTTGTTGAAAAACTCATTTATCTTACCATTACCAGACCTGACCTGACCTATCTCTTGCCGTTGGAGTTGAGTCAATTTATGCAAAATTCGCGTATTGATCATTGGAATGCTGTCGTTCACATCCTAAAATATCTCAAAAAGCTCTAGGACAAGGTCTCGTTGTATGAAGATAAAGGGGTATCCAAATATCCGGGTATTGTGATGCTCGATTGGCTGGATCCCCTATGGACGTGACGCTCCACTACAGGATATTGTGTTCTCATTGGAGGCAATATTATTTCTTGGAAAAGTAAGAAACAAAATGTAGTGACCCGGTCTAGTGCTGAAGCTGAATATAGAGCAATGGCATCTCTCACTTGTGAACTAGTGTGGGTGAAACAATTCCTTCAAGAACTGAAATTTTGTGAGATCCAACAGATAAAGATGTATTGTGATAATCAAACAACTCTCCACATTGTCTCTAATCTGGTGTTCCATGAAAGGACCAAATATATAGAACTTGATTGTCATTTTATTCGTGAAAAATTGTTGTCTAAAGAAATTTGCACTGAATTTGTCGGGTCCAATGATCAACTTGCAGATGTGTTGACAAAGTCTTTAAGAGGACCTCGAATTGAATTTATTTGTTCCAAGCTTGATACATACAATTTGTATGCTCCAGCTTGAGGGGGAGTGTTAGAATTATTATTAGTTAGTGGTTAGTGGTTAGTAGTTAGTAGTTGGTGGTTGTTACTAGTTGGTGGTTGTTGTTTTAAATGTTGTAATCCTATATATATATATGAGAACATAGAGTGGAGTAATGAATCCCACTAAATTAGAAATCTTTTTTTCACTCTCTTTACTCTCTTAACTCTGTTCATGAGGCTCTTGATCACCATGGATGACGACAAGTCATGATTGATGAAATGTAGGCTCTTGAGCACAATGACACTTGGAAGTTTGTCCCTCTTCCTCCTAGCAAAAAGGCTGTGGGCTGAAGGTAGGTCTATGCAGTTAAAGTTGATAATAATGGTAAAGTGGATCATCTTAAAGCTCGTTTAGTAGCTAAAGGCTACATGCAAATTTATGGTCTTGACTATTGTGATACCTTTTCTCGAGTAGCTAAGATTTTCACTATTCGTCTTTTCCTTGCTATGGCTGCGATTCGTCATTGGCCCCTTCATCAACTGGACATTAAAAATGCCTTTCTTCATGGTGATCCTTAGGAAGAGATTTATGTAGCAACTTCTTGGTTTTGTTGCTCAGGGGGAGTCTGGTTTAGTGTGCAAGCTACACCGATCTCTTTATGGCTTGAAGCAGTCACCCCGAGCTTGGTTTGGGAAATTCAATCATGTTGTATAGTTGTTTGTCTTGAAAAGGAGTGAAGCAGATCACTCAATGTTTTATTGTCTGATAAGGTTTCAACATAAAACCAATTGGCAATATGTGGAGTAGCCTAACATGTATTTAAATCATACCAAATGACATGAGGTAGGCGATGTGAGACTTCCAACATGCCTCCTCTAACGAAGCCTGCCGAACTAGGCAAAGGGTACTTTTGACTCAACGAAAGGACAACTTTTGGCCCAAGATAATAACTGAAAAGATGTTAGGCTTTGACTCTGATACCAAATTGTCATTCCTCTTCAGGCAAATGTGTGTATCTTATGGTTTATGTTGATGATATTGTTATTATAGGCAATGATTATACTAAGATCAGCCAATTGAAGAATCATCTATTTGCTCACTTCCAAACCAAAGACCTTGGTCAATTGAAGTATTTCCTTGGTATTGAAGTGACTCAGTCAAAGGAAGGTGTGATCATCTCTCAAAGGAAGTATGCCCTTGATATTCTGAAGGAGACAGGTTTAACAACTTGTAAACTTATTGATACCCCAATGGACCCTAATCAGAAATTGATGGGAGACAAAGGAGAAAAGTTGTCAAATCCAGAAAAATACAAGAGGTTGGTTGGTTGGTAAACTCATTTATCTTACTATTACCCGACCTGATCTTTCTTATGCAGATGAAGTAGTTAGCCAATTTATACAAAATCCTTGTACTAATCAGTGGGACGCCTTGATTCGCATTCTGAGATATATTAAAGGGGCCCCAGGACAAGGATTGTTATATGAAGATAAGGGTAATACTCAAATTTTAGGTTATTGTGATGCAAATTGGGTTGGTTGTCTCATTGATAGAAGATCTACTACTGGGTATTGTATCTTTATTGGAGGGAATTTGATTTCTTGAAAGAGTAAAAATAAAATGTTGTTGCTCGATCTTGTGCAGAAGTTGAGTATAGATCTATGACACTTATTACATGTGAACTTGTGTGGATCAAACAATTCCTTCAAGAATTAAAATTCAGTGATAATACACAGATGAAGTTGTTTTGTGATAATCAGACAACTCTCCATATTGCCTCCAACCCAGTCTTTCATGAAAGAACAAAACATATCGAGATTGATTGTCACTTTATTAGAGAAAAGTTAGTGTTTAAGGGACTTGTAACTGAATTTGTAAGCTCTAATGAGCAACTGACAGACATTTTAACTAAATCCTTGAAAGGTCCTAGGATTTAGTTTATTTGTTCTAAACTTGGTGCATATAATCTATATGCTCTAGCTTGAGGGGGAATGTTGAGATATGATGTTTTTCTATCTTTTCTTAGACTAGTGTTAAGGGTTTGGGCTGAGGTCGATATCCTCTCTATTGTATCTCTTTTATCTATAAATACAATGTAACAATACCTTTTGACACTATATTGGAAATCCTAAATAAGTTTCTTAAGTTGCTTACAAGAAATTCAAATTTAGGCCGAAAAATCCATCTGTTTTAGTATGTCTGCCAATTGTTTGGAGGTTGGGTCAAATGGCATATAAAAATAACTACTTCATCAACCTTCTCCTTTATAAATTGCCTATCAATCACCACATGCTTTTGACATGCTGTACCTGTATGGGATTTTGTACTAAATGTGATTGCAACGGTATTGTCATTATAGTTCCATTGGGTGATTCATAGTGTTAGAAGTCCCACCTTACCTGTTTCATGTCATGTGGTATGATTTAAATACCTGTTAGGCTACTTCACATATTGCCAATTAGTTTTATGTTGGAACCTTAACACAGAAAAATGCAGTTCTTCAACAATCCCATTTAGCCACATTATTTCATAGACCCCTTCTACATTGCTCTATATTCAGCCTCAGCAGTCAGTGCTACGTGTGATTTTTATTATTACATCTTCACGTGGCTAAATCATGCCACAGGAAGGTGGAGTAACCTGATGTTGACCCTGATGTTGACCTTCGATTCATAACAGATATAGCCCAATCAGCATTGGGTAAGTTTCAGTAGTCTGCTGGTCAGTTATTTTTGAAGTACAGATCTCTGCCTGGGCCACTCTTTAAGTATCTAAAAATTCTACACATTGCTTCTCAACTCACAGTATCAGAGCTTCATGCTCTGATTAAGGACACAATCCACCAGGCTAAAAACAGAAAAGACTGGATAAATTTGGTCCACTGTGACTCCTTTGAAGAAGACTGTCATGACACAAGAGAGTGCGTTTATACTCAAATGTAGAAAATCAACAGCAAAAAAAATAATCTGAAATGGTTCTTTCACAAAGGAATCTCTCTGTACTAAGGTTTCTCTACTAAAATGTCAGTTAATTTATTCTCCTCTCTAGCCTAAAACGGTATCCACCTCTCTACTCAGTTCTAAACTGAATTCTAAAACTCCTTGGATGATTGATTTTGAAGCCATTGATCATTTGACAAATTGTTGAACTTGTTTTCTAGCAATAGTCCTTGTGCAGGTACAAAGAAGGTTAAAATTGCAGATGACCGTTTCTCTGCAACATAATTTTGTTTCATAATCTTTCTTTCATATTTACAAAGATTTAGATTTATAGGCAGAGTTGGGTAGAGATTTTTTAACCAATATGCTTACAATTCTAATTCGTTAGACAGAAAAAAAAGCAGAAAAAATAAGGATAAGATTAGTAAAAAGCTGGTCTTACATAGGGTTTGTAGAACTAATTTATCATAAAATATCTTAACAATCTTGACATTTGTTTTATTAGTCACTTCAATGCTATATTTGGCCTTTGTGGTGTAGTTCTGTTGAGACACATGGTTTCCGCTTCTGCATGTCTCTTTTGTATGTTACTCTTTGTGGTGCCTGTCAAGTGAACTCACTGTGTTATGGTCAAAATTTATTTTCTTGACATTCCTCTATTTTTACCATTCACCTTACTTTCTGCCGAGCTCTCAGTTTTCTGGCTGTTGAACCCATTAAATGACATGTTTTAACTAGATACACTAATAAAACACATGGTTCATCAGGTCTCTCTTTGTTAATTCTCAACTTGCCCAAAGGGAACTATAAATACTGAATTTTGTACTTGATTTTTAGTGCCACTGGTAGGCTTGATTGTATTCTGAATCATATCTCTCCCAAGATATATCAGATGAGTCAAATGTGTTAAGATAAACTATAGTCAGTATAATCATTGACACTTCTGCATATTAAAATGATGTAAGTAATGGTATTAAACTGTATACTTGGAAAAATATCTGACATTTGAATATATGATTTCTTTTCTTTGCTTGTTGCTAACCTTTTATACTTGTCATATTGCTATCAGTTGGTTTCACGTGTCTCCATCATTATTGAAATTGAGTTTTTCAAGTTAATTTTGTAGATTCGGCTGGAATAAATCAACGGTTTACAAAGCCTAACCAGTCAAGTTTTCTTAATATCTATAGAGAGCTAAAGTTATTTCATCATGTGACCTATTTTCATAACTCCCAAAATATATCTGGCATTTCTCTGTAATCACGTGTCCAATAATTGTGTGATTGTGCAATACCATTTGGGCACCTCAGTGGACATGTTTTTCTTTTTAGTTTTATACGTCTCTTTTCTTAAGGAATTAGTTTTCTGTCCAAAACAAAAAATTCTGATAGCAAAGGAAGGTTAGTTTGAAGTGGCCTATACGTGTACCTTTCCCATTACATCTATCTAGCATCCAAATGTTCATTGAACTAAATTTTCTGTTTGTACTACATCACCTATATGTTCTAGTGTTTTCAGGTCTTTGCAATGCCAGAAACAGCTTTGGGTTTATTTCCTGATGTAGGTGCCGCATATTTCTTGTCTAGACTGCCTGGCTTTTTTGGTATGCATGTTATATCTTAAATCTCTGTAAATATATTTATTCCTAATCGATATCCTTTTGTATTAAGGTTATGGTTTATTTCTCTTGTATAGTTGGATTGTAATATTGATGATACTATTTTGTCTGGACACTAACTATCATTTCAACTTTTCAGCATTATCAAACATACCTTTTCCCCCATTTTCTCATTTCTATTGGAAAACAAATTGCAGGAGAATATGTTGGTCTTACAGGTGCTAGGTTGAATGGTGCAGAAATGCTTGCTTGTGGTCTTGCAACGCATTTTGTTCCTTCATCGGTATGCTACCTACTACTATAATTGTGGGCTTTTTGTAGCGAGTAGTGTCTCAGTAATTACATGCCTTAACTTAGTCATAAAAATGTGTGTGAAAAAATCATTAAATTTTTTTTGCAGTTTTGGAATATAAATGGTCAACCAAATGTAATCCGACCTGTTTTTTTTTTTTTTCACTAATTATTATTTGACCTTGAGATTGAAAGTATGTAATTAATTTAATTTCTGATTTGAATCAGTTCTGGTGGAAATTTCTTTGGAACATTATATTTGTTATAATTATTATTAGGTAGTGGTTAGTGATTGGTAGGTGGTAGTTGTTATATATATATATATATATATATATATATATATATATATATGAGATCATAGAGTGTAGGAGTGCATCCCCACTGAATATAAATCTTCTTTTAATTTTCTTTACTCTCTTAACTTGGTATCAGAGCAGGTTGGTCCTGCTCTGCCTTTCCGGTCGTCGTCCGGCCACCATCTGGTCACTGTTTGGTCACCGTCTGATCGTCGTTCGGTCGTCGTCCGACCACTATTCAGCCACCGTCCGATCACTTTTCCGGTCACTTTTCCGATCACTTTTCCGGCAACTTTTCCGTCAACTTTCCGGCAACCGTCAGTCCCCCGTCCAGTCACGTTTTTGCTGCCGTCCGATGACTTTTCGACCTCCTTCCAGTGACCTTCCTGCCTCCGTTCCGTTACAGTTGTCCGCTGCTGCCATTCGTCAGTTTTCTTGCAAATTGAAAATTGATACTTCCCTCTCTATCTAATTCTATCTTGGGTGTTCTCCTTCTTACAGGTTCCATTGTCTCCATCTTACATCTACATTATTTAAAACATGTCATCAGGGCCCACAACCTCCTTTTTCGGAACTCCCACTATAACGGTTGAGAAATTAAATGGAAAAAATTACATGTCTTGGTCCTCTTCAGTGGAACTTTGGTTCCTTGGACAAGGGTTTCACGATCATCTAGAAGAAGACGGAGGTAAGATACCAGAAGATCAGGCTCAACAATGGAAAAAACTTGATTATCAACTCTATGCTCTATTGTGGCAATCAATAGAACCAAATATTTTGAACACTCTCAGATCCTTCAAAACATGTAACTCTTTCTGGAAAAAAGCTCAAAATATCTTCGCAAATGATATCCAACGCCTCTATGATTCCGCTAATCGATTAGTCATTCTCAAGCAAGCGGATAAAGATATGATGACCTTTATTGTTGAAGCTCAATCAGCAGTTGAAGAATTAAAGATGTTCCTAGAGGTGGATTCGTTAGAAGAGATAAAGCAAAAGTTGGATAAATTCTATATGGTTATGACTCTCCGGGCTATGAATTCAAAATTTGATCATGTTAGAGATCAAATTTTAACTGGACAAGAAGTTCCTTCTATGGAAAGTTTGACTACAAGACTGCTTCGTGTTTCAACTCTCAAAGGAAAAAATAATCAAGAACTTGTTGAATCTTTTGCTATGATTTCTACTCGTGGAAGAGGAAGTCGTGACACTAGAGGAGGACGTGGAGGTAGAGGATGTCCTCAGTGCATTTATTGCAAGAGAATGGGTCATACCCTAGAAAATTGCTACTCTTTGCACGGTTTTCGTGACAAAACTGTCAATTTCTCCAAATCTGAAATGGTTGAACCCAAGTACTCTCACGAAGAATATCAAGAATATTTGCGGTTGAAATCTAGTAATCTAGCACAGTCATCAACAACCCCAAATTCATCAACAGCTTGCATTTCACAATATGTAGAAAGTCAAAATGCATGGATTATTTACGCAGGTGCTTCTGATCACATGTTTGGTAATACCTCTTTGTTCTCTTCTCTCATTTCCTAAAACTCCTCATCTCATAACCTTAGCCAACAGATCTAAAGTAGCCTCTAAAGGAACTGGTCAAGTCTCCATTTCTTCGTCTTTAAATTTAAAATATGTTCTTTTTGTTCCTTCATGTCCCTTCAGTCTCATTTCCCCAAGTCAATTAACCAAATTATTCAATTGTTCAGTAACCTTTAATGCCAACTCTGTTGTTATACAGGAACGTGGTACGGGTCGACAGATTGGCAAAGGACATGAATCTGGAGGCTTATACTACCTTGGGACTAAATCATCTGTATCTTGTGTTGCATCCTTGTCTCCAAAACTATTACACGAACGTTTAGGGCACCCTCACTTGTCAAGATAAAAAAAAAATGGTTCCTGAACTTCAGACTCTTCAAGATTTTGAATGTGAATCATGTCAATTAGGGAAACATACCAGGTCCTCTTTTCCTAAACGTTCTGAATCTAGATGTGACTCTATCTTCTCTCTTGTTTATTCTGATATTTGGGGTCCTAGTCATGTTTCATCCTTTGACTATAGATATTTTGTTACCTTCATTGATAAGTTTTCTAGGTGTATTTGGATTTATCTAATGAAAGACCGTTCTAAATTATTACATATCTTTAAGTCTTTCCTTAACGAAATCAAAAATCAATTTGGAAAAGTAATCAAAGTTTTACGAAGTGATAATGCCAAAGAATACTTTTTTACTGATTTCTCCACTCTCTTAAGTTCCTAAGGCATTTTATACCAGTCTACTTGTCCTCACACACCACAACAAAATGGTATAGCAGAACGAAAAAATAGACATTTGGTTGAAACTGCTCGTACCTTATTACTTGGTGCAAACATGCCTGTTCATCATTGAGGAGATGCTATTCTTACTGCATGTTTTCTCATTAACAGAATGCCAAAGGAGCCACTCTTTCATGTTTCTCCTCGTGTATTTGGTTGCGTATGTTTTGTTCATGATATGTTTCCAGGTTTAAATAAACTATCAGCAAGAGCCATCAAATGTGTCTTCTTGGGATATTCTCGTCTTCAAAAAGGATATCGATGTTATTCTCCTGAAACCAAGAGGTACTACATGTCTGCTAATGTCACTTTTTTTGAATCAACTCTCTTATTTCCTTCTTCTATGCAGGATATTAGTTCGGTCCAAAATGTCCTACCTATACCCTTAGTGGAGCCATTTGTACCTCCTCCTCCTGACACCTAAAATTCCTCACAAAATACACCGGAATCCTCATCACTGCCTCTTATTACCTATCAACACAAGAGCCAAATGATCAGTCCCATGTCCTAAGATGAGTCTTCCTCAGCATATCCTTCTCAATCATCCCCTGATATCACGATTCCTGATAATGATGGCTCAAGTTGGCCTATTGTCATTTGCAAAGATACTCGCTCTACTCGTAATCCACATCCCATTTATAATTTTCTTAGCTACCACATATTGTTTCCTTCCTATTTTTCTTTTGTCTCATCTGTATCCACTATTACTATTTCAAAAAATGTGAAAGAGGCACTTGATTATCCTAGATGACAACAAACCATGATTGATGAAATGCAGACTCTTGAGCACAATGGTACATGGAACTTAGTTTCTCTTCCACCTGGGAAGAAGACTGTTGGTTTTCGTTGGGTCTATGTCATTAAAGTTGGACCAAAAGGTGAAGTTGATCGACTCAAAGCTAGATTAGTAGCAAAAGGCTACACTTAGATCTATGGTCTTGACTACAGTGATACTTTTTCTCCTGTGGCCAAAATGACTACTGTTTGACTTTTCTTTGCTATGGCAGCTATCCGGCATTGGCCTCTTCATCAGTTAGATATCAAGAATGCTTTCTTGCATGGTGATCTTGAGGAGGAAATTTACATGGAGCAACCTCCTGGTTTTGTTGCTCAGGGGGAGTCTAGTTTGGTTTGTAAGTTACATCGTTCTTTCTATGGTCTCAAATAGTCTCCACGTGCTTGGTTTGGAAAGTTTAGTCACATTATTCAAAGTTTTGGACTAAAACGAAGTAAAGCAGATCATTATGTTTTTTATTATACTGCTTCAGAAAAATGTGTTTATTTAATTGTATATGTGGATGATATAGTCATTACTGGGGATGATGTTGATAAAATTTCTCTGCTAAAGAAACATTTATGCAATCACTTCCAAACTAAGGATCTTGGTTGTCTCAAATACTTTCTAGGGATTGAAGTGGCTCAATCAAAAGAAGACATCATAGTCTCCCAAAGAAAGTATGCTTTAGATATCATGAAAGAAACAGGCATGATTGATTGTAGACCAGTAGACAACCCTATGGATCCAAATCAGAAATTAATGGCTGATCAGGGTGAACCACTCTCTGATCTTGAGAGATATAGAAGACTTGTTGGAAAACTCATTTATCTCACCATTACCAAACCTAACCTATCTTTTGCCGTTGGAGTTGTCAATCAGTTTATGCAAAATCCGCGTACTGATCATTGGAATGCTGTCATTCACATCCTAAAATATCTTAAAAAGGCTCCAGGACAAGTCCTGTTGTATGAAGATAAAGGGGTACCCAAATATCTGGATATTGTGATGCTGATTGGCTGGATTCCCTATGGACAGACGCTCCACTACAGGATATTGTGTTCTCATTGGAGGCAATATTATTTCTTGGAAAAGCAAGAAACAAAATGTAGTGGCCCAGTCTAGTGCAGAAGCTGAATATAGAGCAATGACATCTCTCACTTGTGAACTAGTGTGGGTGAAACAAATCCTTCAAAAACTGAAATTTTGTGAGATCCAACAGATGAAGATGTATTGTGACAATCAAGCAACTCTCCACATTGCCTCTAACCCAGTGTTCCATGAAAGGACCAAACATGTAGAGCTTGATTGTCATTTTATTCGTGAAAAATTGTTGTCTAAAGAAATTTGCACTGAATTTGTCGGGTCCAATGATCAACTTGCAGATGTGTTAACAAAGTCTTTAAGAGGACCTCGAATTGAGTTTATTTGTTCCAAGCTTGGCACATACAATTTGTATGCTCCAGCTTGAGGGGAGTGTTATAATTATTATTAGATAGTGGTTAGTAGTTGAGGGGAGTGTTATAATTATTATTAGGTAGTGGTTAGTAGTTGGTGGTTGGTAGTTGGTAGTTGTTGTTTTAAATGCTGTAATCCTATATATATATATATATATATATATATATGAGATCATAAAGTGGAGGAGTGCATCCCCACTTAATATAAATCTTCTTTTAACTTTCTTTACTCTCTTAACTATATTATTATGATTTTATAATGCATAGTAAATCTTTCTTAATGCATTATGTGATATTTCAACCCTCACCCTTTTACAATCATTCACCACGCAGAAATTGTCTTTATTGGAAGAAGCATTGTGCAAAGTGGAAACTAGTGATCCAAATGCAGTGTCTGCAGTTATCAATGAGTACTCGGAGCAACCTTTCATAAAAGACAATAGTATTTATCACAGGTTGGTACGTATAAAAATAAATACAACGTATTATATACACAAACATACATAAACAACCAAAGTCTTAAGTGGACAGATAGATAAAATTTAGCATACACAAAAACAGCAGCAGCAACCACCAAAGCCATTTCGCACTAGGTGCAGTTGGTCACTTGATTCTAGATTTTTCTCATGGTTTCACTAGGGGTCTTAGTTCACCTCTACTTATTGAGCTATACTGCATCCAATTGACTCTTCTAACTTGGGTTCCTACTGGTCCTCTCCCCAAAAATCTTAGGCAAGTCTATGTGTTTGTATGTAGACATACCTGGGGAAGTATGCATGCATGTATGTATTTATGCTTGTGCATGTGTGTGGCTTATCCTTCTTCCAGTTGTATTTTGGTTGGTCTCTTTCAACATTATATGGTTCTAATATAAATTTTTCAACCACAGTTACATCCCTATTCTTTACACAATGGAGTGTGATTTATTCATGATGGACCAGAACACTAGAATGAATAGGTTATTTTAATTAAATTACATTCATATGATTCAGTTTTTTCCCCTACTTAGATTGCTGGAGGTTTGAACTTTAAACCTATGATCTCCTGCAACCTACCTAAATCGTAACAGCTAACCCATTGCTAGTGGCCCCAAATCTTGTTCTTGCCATTTATTTTTTTGAGAAATGTTAGTTTTAGCTTCCTTCTGATGCAAACTTTACGTTAGATGGCTTTTTGACCAAAATGCAAAGGTATTGGTTAGCTTTGCTTACTGCTTGTGATTTTTTAAGTTTGTCCTGATTTATATATTGTGGTTTTTGTTAGTGGGATATCTTATCCATTGCTCTAGTACTACATTTTTGTTTCTATTCAGCAATAAAATTTTCTTTCATCCAAAAGGAATTAAAAATAAATAATATTAAGTTTGGGTTCTGTAAATATATTTTTGTAAAGTTTGGGCTTGTGCGATGTTTTTTTATTAGATTATATCTGCCTAATCTTTCTGTCAGCCATACCCTGGTCAAGCTGTTAGTTAGGACAGCTGTTAGTAATGTATCTGTATACAGTTAGATCTGCTAGGATTAGTCATGATTCATGAAAGTTAGTTACAACTGTCATGGGGTATGCTAATGTAACTGAGTGGTGAAAACCCTAATCTCTATCTCTGTATATAAGGCCGCAGCCTAACTTGTATCAGCCAAGTAAATTCAGGGTTTCAGAATATTTGAGAAGCCCAGATTCTTCTCTCTGTCTTTCATTATAGGTTCTACTATGAATCCGAAAGTCAACTGGGTGACTCTCTTCTCTTGTCTCAAAGCAAGTACATTTGAGATCCCCGAACATGGTTCTGATTATCTCCCAGACCCAACTCTGTATTGCTCAATTGTTGGTGCCTTGCAGTATGCAGCCATAACCAGACCTGAAATTAGTTACCCTGTTCACAAAGTCTATCAATTAGTTACTCTATTAACAAAGTCTATTCAATTCATGTCGCAGTCTCTAAGAGTCTCATCAGAAATCAGTCAAGTGCATCCTGCACAACCTCAAAAGCTTTATTTCTCGTGGCTTATGAATCAGAGACAGCTCAGAAATACACACAAACTACTCAAAGCGCAATGACAGAAAAATGACATCTGAAGAAAGATGCACATACACATAATGATGACTTCCCAGAGCTCGGAGGTCTCAAGTCTAGACACTGCCCAAATTCCTTTTGTTTCGTTCTCCTCATAATAATCCCTTTTCCCCTGTAAACCTGTCCACTCAACAGAATCATCTCCTGCATTGCTGCCATGTATGGCCTCTGTCAGATATGCCTGGTCAAGATCTTTTGTTTGTTATAACATTTACAACTGTCACTGGGTATCCTATTGTAACTAAGTTGTAACAACGCTCCTATCTCACTTTCCAAGGTGGCAGCGTGACTAACCTGTATCTGTCGAGTAATTATTTGGTTTTCAGTTTCAGAACATTTGAGAAACCTAGATTCTCTTTCTCTGCTTTTTCATTATAGATTTCTGTTATTTTTCTTTTTCAATAATTGAAGCATAACACACTAGCGTATAGTGTTCTACATTTCTCATTTATATCTTCTTGTGGTGGTGGCTCATTGCAGGATGGATGCGATCAACAAGTGCTTCTCAAGAAAATCAATGGAGGGAATAATATCTGCTCTTGTAAGTGGTGTTGAGTTATGTTATTGAAAGTATCCGATTAATATTCTTCAGCATAATTAAGGATGAACTTTTTCCACTTACTTACCATAATTTTGTCCTGCTGTTTTAGGAGATGGAAGCTATGGGCAAGGCAGATCATTGGATTTCTGAAACTGTTCAAACCTTAAAGAAAGCATCTCCAACAAGCCTTAAAATATTTCTTAGATTGGTATGTGTCCTGAATGAGTTATTATAAGTTATGTTTCATGTACATTCTAAATCTCAGTTCTGCTTTATATGTACAATGTTAAAGTATATTTGTAGTGTTTTTTTCTTTTAAATATAGGAATGAATGCATCAAGAGAAAGGGGATATAATAGCAATGAGTTTAAGAGGATAAGAATACCTTGAAAAATGAAGATAGAAAAAAAGGTTTTACACCCAGAAAGAACAAAGCAAAGAGGAAGCTATACTTTCCAATCTATAAACTATTTCCCTTTAAAGATATAGTGTTTGACTTAGTTCAACTTCATTTCCCTAGTTTCTCACCCAAGTTAATTTCAATCAAATCACCCAAGTTTTAACATATTTGACCTTATCACAATTGTGACTCCTTTACTTCTACCTAAACTAGTAGCTAATAAACAAAAACTGGTCCAAGCACCCAGGGCACCTCCAACATCTTCACAAGGTGATGTGAAGAAATCCATAAAGGAACAGATATATAACAATGTAAGAATAGTGGACTGACTTTGGGCTACGCATTGCACAATATCACCCTTATGCAATTAGGCTGGATTCTCGGATTTTGTGGATTACATTATGCCATAGGAAATAGAAGGAAAACAAATAAACCGTTTACTATTGCTAGAACAATTAAGAAGAAATGAGCTATTTTTCGAGGACAAAGAACCTCCAGAAACATGATATATAAGGAAGAGACTATATGATATATTTTTCCTCCCTCATAATGAGAGCAGTACAAGGGAATATAAAGGCACTCTAACAGAAAAGCCATCTAATAGAATCCAATCCACCAATAGTGCATAACATAATTATTGACAACAATGCAATAATAATGTTCCCTACTTGTTGAGTCATTCAATCCTTGGAAGCTTATCAATATGGGACAAAGTCATCCCATTGTTTTGGCCTCGTGGCATTCTATTGGCGCTTTACATTTGAAGCCCCTAATCCTTCTGTTGGGCTATTACTCTCAGGCCTATTCGTAACAACAATGTTCTTAGAAACCAAATTGTCAAGATCCATACCCCTCCTCCTTTGAACAACGACAAACCTCCTAACTCACCAAGTGGTCTCATCTCATACCTGTAGCACTTGACTAAAAAAATCTCCTCTGTATTTTCATGCCAAAAACTTTCAGTCTGTCACTAAGACAGGAATAAACATAGTTAGTAGGAAATGTAGAAAGCAAAGCCTGCGTTAATCCAAGCCCTCAGTCAAAAATAAGCCTTTTTCTTGCATGGTTGGTGCTTGGAAATCTTCACATTGTCTTTTATAATTTATTCACGTTTTCAAGAAGTATAAATTTGGCTACCCGGCCTTTCAAAAACAAAGTGAGAAAGGTTTAATAGAAAAAAACACAAAAGGAATTGAATGGATTTTTTTTTTCCCTTTTCAAAACCTTTTGTAAACATGAAAGACAGGCTTAGTTGAAAATATTTGAAGGAAACACTCAACAAGTGCACTATTTGTACAAGTAATGAAGTGATTGATGACTATACATGATTATGATGCCTGAAGATTTTGATGATGATTCTAGAGCAAAAGACTTGAAGACTTATAATCATTTGTATTTACTTGTAATAACTCTGTTTTATCTTTTTGAGTCTGTAAAATTAGAGTCCAAGATAGCCAGTACATAGTTCATCCTCTGAAAGTTCAATTTTATCAAAACAACTCTGTGATAATCGATTATCACTCGGGATAATCGATTATCCTTCATTGAAACATGTTTTCTGAAAAGCTTGCTGGAATAATCGATTATCTAGGTTGATAATCAATTATCCCAATTGAAATAATCGATTATCTCAGAGGATAATCGATTATCTTGGTCCAGTTTACTCCTCTGCGAAAATGGCTTTGTGATAATCGATTATGTACGTTTGTTATGATATTGAATTTCGAATTCTGGACCAATTTTCGAAACACTTATTTCCAATACTTCTATTTTCGAAAACTTCTATTCCCCAGACCCTAAATCTCTCTACTTAAGGTTCTCTAAGACTCTCTGCAAAATAACAAACCTTTTTCATACAAAAGTTAAGAGTTGTGATTGCTAGAGAATTTTGTGTATGGAAGAAAAATGGGCTTTTGAAACCTAGTGTGGGCTAGAAGCGATAAGGATCACTGAGTGAGACTCTTGGTGGATTGTGTGCTGTGCCGTCTCTAGGAAAAACTGTTGTTCATCCTTTGTGGATTCAAGAGAGGTGCTCATCTCTTGTGTGACTCAAGAGAGGTGTTTTCTAATATTTATCTTTGTATTTTTAATCTGTTTGAACTGTGATTATAGTGATAACGTTAATTCTCTTTTAGAGTGATTAGCAACTGGACGTAGGGTCTTTTGATCTGAACCAGTATAAAACACTTGTGTAATCTTCTTATCCTTTCTTTACTTTACAAGTATTTTAATCGATGAAATTTGGGAAAATTTTCAAAATCCTAATTTTTATAAGAAACCAATTCACCCCCCTCTTGGTTTTGTCCGCAACCGCGAACATTCCGCTGCGCACAAGGTCTAATAATTATATGTGCATATATCGTTCCCATGACTTGTGATACTTTATTCCAAGTCTTTCCAAGTAGAAATATTGCTACTAGGTTGAGATTGTTGCCAATTTTCTTGCAATTAGCAATTCTTGATTCTTGCAACTTTACTTACAATACACTCATTTCCCCCAGTTGCACCAAGTAGGCTGGTTGTTTGAAACACAATACATGGATCAGGATGTAGTCAACCCATGACTTTGGTTTACATCTGATCTTTAGAGTGCATATTTGGTTAAGATTTTTTTCAAGCAATAGTTGCTAATATTTAAAAGATCCTTAAGAAAATTGGGAAGAATAAGTGATTATTTATTGAAAATAAGTGGAACAAAACATGAGTTATTTATGAATTTTCTCTTTTCTTCCAAATATCACAACAATCTATCAACTTTCTTATCATCGTTATTGTTTCATTATCATCAGCACAATATCAACTTATATCTTTTCCTTTTGGCATTTTCAGATTAGAGAAGTCAGACTCCTAGGTATTGGTCCATGCCTTGTTCTTGAATATAGAATTGTATGTCATATTCTAAAAGGACACTACAGCAAGGATTTCTTTGAGGTATCTGATAATTCCTATCCACGGTTGTTTTAGATCATTTTTCTTTCATGGCTTACTTATTTGTTATGCTTTTCTGCAGGGTTGTAGGGCTATACTGATAGATAAAGACAGGAACCCAAAGGTGGTTAACCACTTTGATTTTGTGTAATCGTTTCTCATTTAATCATGAACATTTCTACTCGTAAATTTTTTTTATTGAAAAGTAGTATTTTGGTTCTCATATTGATGATGTCCTTTTCAGTGGGAACCTTCCAAATTGGAGCTTCTTAGTGATAGTGATGTTGATCGTTACTTCTCTAAGCTTCATGATGAAGAATGGGAAGATTTGCAACTTCCTAAAAGGTTCAATCTGCCTACATATGCTATTTCAAAGCTGTAATAAACTATAAAAAATCTCATATTTTCAAGCCAAAAGTATTGAAGACAAGTCACTTACGAAATCAATAAACCTCTTGTTGTAAGGGTCCACTATTCTTAATGTAATTGTTGAAAAGTTTACTTTTAAATAAATCTCATAGATCATATATACTTTGTGGGGGACCATGGGACTAGAGTAACTTAACAATATAGAAAATTAATATTTTGTGATTACGCCTAAAAATTAATATAGAAAATGAGTCAGAACATAGAATTGTGAATACCTTACTATTTTGGATTGTCAGCTCCTCAAAGAAGAATTTAATTCTTAGTGTGAAAATACAAAAGTATTTTGAGACTGAAAATAGGTTTTGAAAGTCAAATTAGCTACAATCCGTTGTTGCCTAAAACTAATAAACTAGTAAGTATAAACGTGAAATTTTTAATATGTATGAAATAAATATCTACAAGTCTAATGTTTTAAAATTTTTGATTATGTATGATGTTAAATCTACTTGTGTGATATATTCATATTTCATTAGAATATATCTCTCTCCAAACTTACTAACAAATATTTTCTTTTCAATTCGTGTGTTAAGATTTTCTTATTTATGATTTCCAAACTATTTGAGATATATTTAAAAATTCCGTTCAACATTTTAGTCATGTTCCTCGTTTGAGGATGGGTAAAATCTCATCAAACGGAAGCCAAAGTATTTTATATAAAGAATGTACCGTTTGTTTCGACCAAGTTTTTTTCATAAACATATTTTATGAATGAAAAATATTATAAAAGAATAAAATTAATTTTTCATAGTTTAAAAGTAGTTTTTTCAAAAATTACGATTAATTTATGCACAAATTTAAAAACAAAAGCTTAAAAAGGTTTTATAAAAGCATTTCTACTAAGTAGCCTTCATTTAATCTAATTTCAACTTGTTAAAAAATTAATTTAATTTTTCTATTTTTTTATATATTAAAATACATATTAAAATAATACATTTTATTTTAAAAATATTATAAACTTTTTCACGTTGCTTTGACAAGATTGGTTACTTCATATTTAAAATGGCATAAGGACCAACACTTACTCTTATTAATTTTTTTATATATAAAATTTAATTAAAATTTAAAATCAACGACCATTTTGAAATAATAAAATTTATTTGTGTAACTTATGTTACTTTGATACACAGCTTTGTTTATTTTTTTAAATCTGCTATGAAAACTATAATTAGGGCAAATGGAGTTTTGTTTATAAATTTTGAAATTATTGTTTATTCCCATCCTAATATTTTTGGTCAATTTGAGAATGTGAACATCCAATTTCGTTAACTTTTTTTATTTTATTTTATTTATTTAAATAAATTTTTTTCAAAAAGATTAAAATAAAAAATAAGTGATAAATGGGTTGTTAAGTGCAACATGTCCCAATTGTCAAAAAGGTAACAGTTGAAGAAAATAATTAAACAAATGGATCAAAATGTTTATAAATTTCAAAAACTCAATGAAGGAGAAAAATTGAAAATCAAGTGAGAAAGGAAGGATTTTGCATTGAGAATTTAGAAGAAGTAGCACAAGAGTGATTATAAACCCTTTTCTTTTTGGTTTAAATCATCATAGTTCTCCACTCATTATTTCAATCAAATCTCAAACTTCAACAATAAAAGTGTCATGAAAAGAAAAATGAATAAGAAATAAAATATTTATTCTTATTGGGTCAACGTTTTGGGGTTGATCAAATAATTATTCTTACTTGTTTGGTTTTCACTCTTTTCAATTCAGTGGTGATGAAGCATGTGATTCTTATTATATGTGTTTCCCATTTTCTCACTTCTCATTTCATATATACCACAAAGATTAAATATATTTTAGGTTTGATTTGCTTCGCACTAAGATAATCATATAAAGATTGAATTTTTTGAATCATATAAACATAAAAAAATTTAAGAACTTGAACTAAATAATTTATGGTTTGTGGATTCCATCAAGAAAAGTATTTAACATTGTTTTACGTTTTAAATCTTCGTTATGGTTTATGTATAATTCTAGAAACATAATCTATCCTTCAAGAAGATCTATTAATTATGTTTCTAGAAAAAGAAAAGAGAAAGATAGTTTGAAATTGTAAAATTTATATCTATCAATCAACCATGAATGAGTTATTTCCATTTCCCTCAATTAGTGGTTAAATGATGAAAGCAGATTCTCTGTCTAATCAGAAAAGAAAGATGAACTAAGAAAGATAAATCATAGCACAATTCTTATATTCAAGACCCACATAAAGTAAAAGAAAAACCAGAAAGTACAGAGTGCTATTTGACAAAGAAAAGATAAGAACCAATATAAAAATGTAAATCCTTCAACAATGATTAAACTTCAAAAGTAAAATATTAAGGAATCTCACTTATATATAATTCACCTTCTCTCTTCTTTCTAAGTCCAATCCCATTTGAAAAACCATCAACACCGCCACATAACAAACATGTCTTCAGGATCTGCAACTAATGGCACGCCTTACCCCATCAAAACGATCGTCGTTTTGGTTCAAGAGAACCGTTCTTTCGACCACATGTTCGGTTGGATGAAGTCCCTCAACCCGGAGATCGACGGGGTCACCGGTTCGGAGTCAAACCCAGTTTCCACTTCGGATCCCAACTCGAAGCGGGTTTATTTTTCTGACCACTCCCATTATGTTGAACCGGATCCGGGGCACACGGTTGAAGATGTATACGAGCAGGTTTTCGGCGAACCGTGGAATGAATCCTCGGCAACAGAGAAACTATCACCGAGAATGGAAGGATTCGCGCAAAACTCGGTGAAGCAGAAGAAGGGTTCAACGGCGGAGACTGTGATGAACGGGTACAAACCGGATCAGCTACCGGTTTTTAAAGAGTTGGTGAAGGAGTTTGCGGTTTGTGATAGGTGGTTTGCTTCTGTTCCCGGTCCGACCCAACCGAACCGGCTCTACGTTCACTCTGCGACGTCGTATGGGTTGACCACTCAGGACACAACGAAACTTCTTGGGGGTTTGCCACAGAAGACTTTATTTGATTCTTTGGACGAAAATGGATTCAGTTTTGGAATATATTACCAATCCGTGCCATCCACTCTTTTTTATAGGTCAGTGTAGTTGAAAATTATTGTTTTTTTAGGGATTTAGAAAAAAATATGATAAATGACGAATTTAAATATATATCATTTTAATAATTTTATTTTTTTAATAATAATATTTCAAAAATACGTTTTAATTAATTGATAATTTAGTTCTACTGAATATTTTTTTAGTCTTGATATTATGATTCAATACAAATCAACATTAGGTAAAATACATAATAAAGATAATTAATTTTACATTTATTTATACTGAAAAAATTGAATCTTTTGCACCAATTTCAGAAGCCTTAGGAAAGTGAAATACATAGACAACTTTCACTTCTTCGATTCAAAGTTCAAGAAGCATTGCGAGAAAGGGAAGTTGCCAAACTACGTGGTGATCGAGCAGAGATATTTTGACTTGTTGTCGAAGCCTGCGAATGACGACCACCCATCTCATGATGTTGGTGAGGGACAAAGGTTTGTGAAACAAGTGTACGAGGCACTGCGAGCAAGTCCTCAATGGAATGAAACACTGTTTGTGATCACATATGACGAACATGGAGGGTTCTATGATCATGTTCCAACACCTGTGGATGGAGTTCCACGACCAGATGACATTGCAGGTCCTGAACCATTCAAGTTTCAGTTTGATAGGCTTGGTGTTAGGGTTCCCACCATCATTATCTCTCCATGGATTGAAGCAGGAAAAGGTATGTGATGAACATATAAATGGTCTACAAATTTGTACTTATTGATGAAGTAAGTAACTATATGTTATATGTATATGTTATATACAGTGTTGCATGAACCTTCTGGGCCATTCGAAACATCACAGTATGAACATTCATCAATACCAGCAACTGTGAAGAAGATATTAAATCTTCCTGAGTTTTTGACAAAGCGTGATGCATGGGCTGGAACATTCGAGAATCTCTTATCTCTGAGCACCCCACGTACTGATTGTCCAGGTCAGATTTCTACCCCTTTCTTTCTACTTATATACTGCTACAATGATTTCTATCTGCTTTATCTGATAATGCATAGCATTTATAGTAATGGTGATATACTATTTTGAAATTTGTTTATATTTGGAAAGAGAATATTCCGGGCTCGTGTCTCGTGGATCATTTATCCACGTTGAGATAAAATAACAGCAGACACTCTATTTTAAAGATCTAATTCGATTTTATCTTTAAAAATTGACTAGAGAATATATATATATATATATATATATATATATATATATATATATATATATATATATATATATATATATATATATATATATATATATATATATATATATATATATATATATATATATATATATATGAACTATTCTTGTCGCGACTCTAAACGATGTAAGAGTTCTCGATCTCATTATAAACTCTAGTATTCTGTCTAATAACAAGAGTTAATATTGTGTCTAACACCAAATCTTATTATATTATTATAATAGTCATGGTCTAGGACATTTTCATACACTATTTTCATTTGAGTACTGATATTTTTACAACCGATTTTAAACATCCATTTGACAACTGAATAAAAAAAATATTAAATGCACAGTGTTACCGAATAAAAAATATTAAATGCACAGTGTTTTGGGCAGGTAGCGTCGCTCGAGCAATGTAAATTTCGCTTGAGCGACGACACTTTAGATAGCGGTTAATAACAACCGCTTTTAAAAAAAACATATAATATAACGGTTTGTGAGTGAACCGCTCACTAAAGTATGTTTTTGTTAGCGGTTCAGAAGTAACCGCTATCTAAAGTCATATTCTTTTTCATCCTTCCCTCCTACTTTCTTCAACTTCGCGCTCTTTCTGACTGCGTTTTTTTGCCGCTCTCATTCTCGCTCTCTGCGCTCTCATTCTCGGTCTCTGCGCTCTCATTCTTGCTCTCTGCGTCTTCTATTAAGCTTAAGGTACGTTCTTTGTATTTTCAATCTTTCTGATTCTCTTGCTCACATTGAAGCATATTACATTGTAATATATTTGTGTGTCACACTATATAATTGCATCCTGTCTTTTCTTTCTGGTGGCACTGCACCAACAGGGTTGACATATGACCTGATGAAGAGCATGACCTCTTGCCTTTGTCCTCAGCCTGGCACCGACAAAAGAAAAAGAGTGTCAAAGAGACTGAAGATTATAATGAAACATCACTATAATGCCAGTTTAAATACAATTGGACAAAGAGACTGAGTGTCAAAGATATTGTTTTATTCTAAAACAATGATCACTAACTGACCATCGACTAACTAGTTCTTTTATAATATTGCTTGATATTTGCAATGACTCTTTTATTTGAAGAAGCCATTTAAACGGAGTTTGTTCAATAGCTGCTCGTTGGTGTTTGGTCAACTTTGAATTTATATCAGCTATATACTCTGTCTCAATCTTATGTCTTAATCTTATCTGCACATATAACATGTATAACATATATAACATACATAACATATAACAAATTGAATATTTAGTAAATCACTTTTCATAAAAAACTATAATTAACATGCACATACCTTTTTCTCGTCATGACGGTCTCTTTTTGCAGACATTTTTTTCCCAAACTAATCCTGTTACAAATTATTAAAATTGTAACTTACAATCACAAAATAGTACAAACAAAAAAATTAAGTCCAACCATGTTACACATACTTTTGGTCAAATTGTGAATTATGCAAACGTGGGTGTAAATCTTGTGCATATTATACAAAATGTTTGTCATGCAAATACAATTCTTCATTGTAGCATTTCATCAAACACTTGTTGGACATTAATATAGCATCACAACTCAATAAACCCTAAACCGTGAAAAACACCTTCATTACAAACCCAATCAAAGATAAACAGAAAAGAAAACAACAATGGAAACCCAATCAAAAATACACACAAAATCAAGCAAATGTTGTTAAACGAACACTCACCACCGCAGGGTCGCTCAAGCAACACACAGTGATGTTCAGCTCCAACGACACGGACGAAGCCAAGCGACAGGAAGTCGAGCGCCGTGAAGAGCGAGATGGAGAAATTTTACCCTAAGTCGAGGGAGAAGAAGTCGAGCGAGGAAGAGCGCGAATATGAAAAACGAAAATCAATGACACTTCTTCAAACGTATCTTTCATTTTTTACATTAACATCCCCCATTTTTACAATATTACATCTCTACCCCTCTACAATTTTACTAATCAAACCCTTATTTTTAATTAATTTCTTTTTAACCCTGGTTGTCAAACGGATGTTTGTTTTCAGTTGTCAAATAATCGTTTTCCTTTTCATTTCTAGATGAAACATTTCAGAGTTAAGGGGTTAAGTTTTATATTTGTGACTACACTCAGACATAAATAATGTTCCTAGGCTCTGTAATATTTTTTCCTTTTGATTATTACGATTTGCAGTGAAATTGGCAGAGCCTATAAAACTAAGAGAGGTTGGTGCTGCTGAAGAAGAAAAGCAACTGAGTGAATTTCAGGAAGAACTGATACACTTGGCAGCTTCACTGAATGGGGATCATAGCAAGAGTATCTACCCCAATAAGCTAACACAGAATTTAACTGTTTCTGAGGCAGTGAAATACTGTGAAGGTGCATTTGAAACATTCTTGAATGAGTGTGAGAAAGCAAAACAAAATAGAGTTGATGGATCTGAAATTGTTGATTGTGCAAAGCCGAATACTGCACCACAATCCAAAAGCTTCTTGCACAAGATGCTATCTTGCATATTATGTAATTGAAACTAGTTACTTACTTGTTCTTCACTGCAACAAAATAACAAAGAAAATGATAACAACACAACTATTCACTGTAGTTTCAAGAATTGAAAATTGTTACTTAGTTGTTCTTCACTGTGTTATTACAACCTAGTGTTCAAGGTCTTGAGTTTATATACATATATTTATGGTTGTCTATAGATACAAATTGTGCTATTGTGTTTGATTTTTTTTATTAGATAACAATTTTAGTTAATATTCATTACAAATTTTTTTATGAATGTGTTTTTGTAAAACTTGTGATAAAGTTAGATTTTTCTTTTTCTGTAATTTTTAGAAAATCTAAAAAAAGTTATAGTGAAGAGTCCTATAAAATATAAAAAAAATTCTAATAATGTAATATATATACTTGAAAATACACATCACAGGTAGTTTATGAAAATAAAACCGACTTTTTTTCATAAATAATACTGTTTTCAAAAATATTTACCAAAATAGCACCTCTGCAACTTTATTTACACAACTAGCACTGTTTACTGTTCACCTAATAAAATAATATTATTTCGCGTACTGAACTCTCGCTCAAGCGAAGAAAACCTTCGCTTGAGCGAGGAAACCTGTAACAAAGGGGTAATCTGGGGTAAATTCTCGCTTGAGCGAAAAGCATGATCGACTATTATCCAATTATAGTCGATCACTTTGACATATATGACTTTAAATAGCGGTTATTTGGCCAACCACTATCTAAACTACTACATTAGATAGCGGTTATTTTCACAACCGCTATCTAAACTACTACTTTAGATAGCGGTTATTTGGCCAACCGCTATCTAAGCTAACTCAAGCGAACTGCGTTTGGCGTTTCATGATTCGGTCATTATTCGCTCAAGCGACAGAGTCACCGCTTGAGCGATGAAGCCTTCAAACAAGGGGGACTCATTGATTTGATGAAGTCAAAGATAAAGTCAAAAGTCAACTCTGCAGTAGTCAACAAGTCACCCCGATAATTGAGTTGAAGATTTAGTGTGTCTTAACGAAAGTTTAGGTAAAACCATTTTACCTTTTCTCGCTGCATAAAGTTTCTTCATCATTTTGCAAAATGCCTCAAAAATAGTTTTAAACAAATCAAAAACAAAAGCATTTTGACAAAGAACATTCTTAATAATGTTTTTAACTCGATATAGTTTTAAAAGAAACGATTAAAATCACTTAGAATGTTTAAAGAAGTGTTTTTACGAGTATTTTAATCGATACAAACTTCTTTTAATCGATTAAAACCACTTTGGAAGTCAGGATGATCGATCAGAATGAAATTATGACCGATCAGAGTTGGTTATGATCGATCAGAGTTGAATTATGACCGATCAGACCTATTTCAATCGATTAAAACGAATTTCAATCGATTAAAATGACTTGAAAATTTTTGTACAGAGTTTCAATCGATTAAAACGTATTTCAATCGATTCAAATAACTTGGAAAATCTTTGTACAGAGTTTCAATCGATTAAAACGCGTTTCAACCGATTAAAACAACTTAGAAAAATTCTGTGCTGGTTTTTAATCGATTAAAACTTCTTTGTATCAGTTAAAATAACTTGAAAAGTTTTATAAGGAAGTTTTAAAGCAAATCAATCGATTGAATCACTCAGAAAATGTTTGTAAAATGTTTAAACTGATATAAACATGGTTGTATCAACTAAAAACATTCTGTTAAAGAAACAAGAACGCATTAATGGGTTGAAAGGACTTTTAACAGATTATAACGGCTATTTCAACAGATTAAAACAAACTTTCAACAGATTAATTAATGCAGCAGATTTGAAAATTCTCTTTAAAAACAGTTTTGCTTGTCCAATGGTAATCTTGTCCAATGGTAATCTTGAAAATGTCAATCGGGGATTGCTAAGAAGCGGAGGAGAGCTCCAAGTGGTTTTTTCTCAATCTAATAAAAGTGCCATCAAATTTGACGCCCCAAAATACGAGAGCAACCTCCAAATTAAGAAATGGGTCCAGAGCCTTCAAGATCAAGGGCGAAAGAAAGCTCGGATATTGAGGAAGGTCGATTGTAACGAGAAAATGGGAGTCATCCACGGAGGAGGCTTCGTATCCAGGAGAGATGCTTCGAAGGTCCAACAGTGGTCGACGAGTGTGAAGAAGAGAATGTCACAAAATGAAGGTAGTTCCGACCAATGCATTGGTGGATATAACGAGAATCCCCCATTTTTCCAGGTGTCCTCGCTCAAGCGATGTGTTTTTCGCTTGAGTCACCTTAGATAGCGGTTGATAACAACCGCTTTTAAAAATGTATATTAGATAGCGGTTAGGCTTTAACCGCTTTCTAATGTAGTAGTTTAGATAGCGGTTGGCCAAATAACCGCTATCTAAAGTCATATATGTCAAAGTGATCGACTATATTTGGATAATAATCTATCATACTTTTTGCTCAAGCGAAGAAAACCTTCGCTTGAGCGAGAATTTACCCCATATTACCCATTCGTTACAGATTTCCTCGCTCAAGCGAAGGTTTTCTTCGCTTGAGCGAGAGTTCAGTACGCGAAATAATATTATTTTAATACATGAACAGTAAACAGTTGCGCGAAATAATATTATTTTATTACGTGAACAGTAAACAGTGCTAGTTGTGTAAATAAAGTTGCAGAGTAGCTATTTTGGTAAATATTTTTGAAAACAGTATTATTTATGAAAAAAAGTCAATAAAACCAGTCTTAATTCACATTACTGAAACTATATTTTAAAATTGGTCTTTTAGCAAAAATAATAATATAATACACTGATAATTAATGTAAAAACTAAATCATAAATTAATATTATTACCGATAAAATACCAATAACAAATTGAGTATAAAAGTAAATTTTTGATATTAAATTTACCCCCAAAATATTTATTTAGTTTTTTTTTTAATTATGTAAAAACCAATGAAAAAATGCCATATGTTTTTGTTTTCTGGATCAATATTTGAAAATTATTTCAAGTTTACTTTTTAAAACAATAACAAAAATATTAGAAATCCGTACTTTTTTTCATCTATTTTATTTTTTGAAAAATTTATGCTTTTATCATATGATTTAATATTTTTTAAATATATTAAATAAGTGGCAAATTTTATTCTCCCACTGTTTGTAAATATATAAACAGCCAGGATTTTCAAAATAATGGTAATCACATTGGAGGATTTATAAAATAAAAATAAAAATTCAACCTTTTATTAAATGAATGAAAAAAATAAATATAAAACATCAGAAAATATTAATGCACCAGCCGGGAATCGAACCCGGGTCTGTACCGTGGCAGGGTACTATTCTACCACTAGACCACTGGTGCTTCTACGAAAGTTTGTTAAAATTTTAAGGAATAATAAAAACAATCTTAGTCATTTTTATTGGTCCAAACATCCAACTTGGTAGCAAACAACACACTCTCAAGGTAAAGCCAGAAAACAAGTTCTAAAAAATGCTTCAGTATCTACACAATGCTTCATATACAATCTAAACTTTATTTTAGGTACAACCCAAATGTATAATCAAACTCCAAACGAAAGTAAAAAATGGTAATTAATGTTTTCTTTTGTATTCAATACTAGTAACATCATCCATGAAGTGCTCAATCAATCTTATTGGAAGGATCTTCTTAAGTTGCCTCCATAGATGTTTGGTGATGCTTCGAGCCATCACATACACAGGAAACTGAATGATGGCAAATATAGTGACAGGAAAGAAGGCAGCACTGTATATCAACGTTGAAGTCCAATTCTTCCATTCCAATCGAATGGTCAACAACATGGTTGCACTGAATGCAAGCATTGTTGTCATCAATGATAAGAACAACAAAGCAAATCCCAAGTTCAGTTTTCGTGGAAGCGACTTGTGAAAATCCCACAACTCACATGGGGAAGTGAGGATGGAGAGGAACACCACCACTGAAGCAAGTGAGGTAGCAAGAGCCACCACATCCATGATGGTGAAAAAGAGAAACTCACCAGAATGAAGGAATACAGGAGTACCATTTTCGGTTCCACCTGGAATGGTGTATGCAGCAGCAAATACAACTGTAGCAACTAGAATTGCAACAGTGGAGCATGATTGAGCTGTTTCTTTTAACCATTTTTGTGCCTCTTCAAGCATCTTTTCATGCTCAATTTCTAACATATCTTCAGGTGTGTGTCCGTCTATATCACAGTGCATGTTGTAATGTTTAGGAGTGATTCTTCTCACTTTCTGAACACACAATAGTTATTTTCTAGTCATTGCAAGTAGCCATAAAAGACTTAGATTACTCTTTCAAAATTTTATTATTAGCTACATTTTGTAAAACTAAGACAAGTATTTAGATAACTGAGGATCGTTTTAATATACCAAAAAAGTGTCCAAACATACACTAAGTTGTAAAGGATTAATCAACCACTTACATCATACCAACGCAATTCATCTTGCAGACGAAATGCAACTCCAGCTAAGTGTTCTCCTTTGTAGTAATCCATCCTTGCAACTTCATGCAAGATAGTTCGTTCTTTATCTGTCAGTTGAGCAACCAACGATTCAGTTGTACCTGTTCTTTCTATGATTTCAAGAATTTTCTTCTGTCGATACTTAGCAGCCCTGTATAAAGTACATTATTATTACATGTCATTTTTTCTGTTATGTTATACGTTTTCATAAAATAATTTAGGACAAAAACAAAAGAGGTTTAGACACAACTTCGATCTTTTCTTACATGTTCAATATGTTCTGCTTATTCTCAGTAACATGATAAATAGCCGCAGGATGGAGTTCAATATATTTTTCAACAATTTCTACAATTCCAGTTTTAGTTGCTATGAATAATGCTGTGCGTTCTGGAGGGTCTTTAACGTACATACGCCTCTCTTCCCTGTTTTGTGCACTTACCCTTCTCCTTTTCACCACATTTAAAGGATGACGAGGCATATTAATAACTTTTGTCCTTCTATTCTCATTAAAGGATACTTGCCATGATAAGTCTTTTTCTACCAAAATATTGGCCAGATAATCAGCCAACTTGTGTTTTTTCTTTTCCTTCCACATATGATCAATTCCTTCAAACTCTGCAATGAAGATCAAACAAAAATATTGTCATAAAGAACTAATTGGTGGAATATTATAACTCTTTGGTAAAGGATTCTGGAGATTAATACATTAGGAATGCCAGTATCATAGTTACATTTCTCATTAAGTTTATTTGACTTGTTTAAAGTAAAGTTTTTGGATTAATGGGAAAGTTGGGAATGTAATAATGATTCGTATAAGACAAAATTGAATATAGACAAAGCTAGTATGAAAATTCAACTTTGTACCTTTCGCCAAGTGTTTCCAAAACCTGTAGTTGATATCTGAAATTGCTGAAATTTGAAATTTCTTCTGGTGTTATATGTAATCACAGTCACTCACAATATTTTAGAAAAAACGAATTAAATTTATATGAGTACCTGTTTTGTTGAGTAAAGACTCATCCTTTTTACCATTTTCTTCATCTTTCTTTTGTTTAAATAAGTGAAATTTTTCTTGATGATCAATATCATATTCTTCAGGAAGCACTGTCACCCAAATCATAAGCAACCAACATTAATTATATATATAAATGATGAAAGAGTTATGATAAATGTTTCATTGGTTGTATGAAAAAGAGCAAAAATTCGTTATTGGATATGAATTAAATTCTAACTTTGAATTTTGATATGTAAATCCGAACCTTCTTTAACTTGTGAAAATTTAATAGCCAATAATTCAAGTATTGACTGAAAGTTATAAAGTGTTTTAAAGGGTAGAAAAAGTGACGGGGAAGGTACAGAGATATATGATGCTCTTCACTGCTCCCATTTGAGTATGGCTTCGAAAAACATGTGGCATTTTGGAAAGTAGTTGAAGACATGTTAAGTTCTTCTTATCCTTTTCCAGAGCAAGTTCTTCATCCATTCTTACCAGCCAAATTGCAACATCTGCACCAAAGAATTACACAATCATCGACTCTGAAGCATCATCTCTCTCTGTTAAATAGGTAATGAGAAAGAAAAGAAACTGCTATCAATGGAAAAAACGGCAAAGATTCGCAAAGGTAATTCATACCCTTATAGCATCAATTGTTCTGTGATACAGATTTTTTTTATTGTGTTGTTCTTTTGTCTCTATTTTATTAAATATAATAAAGTTACTTATGTCATATGCAGATCTGTGCAGATCCAACCAAAACCAGAACTAAATCATTATTTCCTCTAAATTGTTAAGATTAACAAGAAGAGCATTTTATTCAAATTTGTTTAAACAATGCAACTTCTCTAATTTAAAATCATAAGTCTGTACAAAAATTGACAACAACAACGCAGAGGCTTTTAAATTTTGCAATTATCTCAATATGGACAGAAACTTTGACACGGTTGTATAACAATTTATTATTAGTAAAACCTGTTAAAGATTATGAAACCATAAGTTCATCAAATAATAGGTGAGACAGCTTTCTATGAACCACGATAAGTCAATAACTTTCAATTAACAGCAATGAAAACTTATCAGAAATTTAGGTAAAACACAGGTAGACATCTAAGTAGAGAGAAATGAAAGACATACGAAAATGTTGGCCAATGACACTGGCATGAAGAACATTATATTGGTCAGATCGATGCCAATGCTTTCGTAAATCCATATGATGCGTGACTGCACGGTTAGCCATGTGTTTGAGAATCTTGAGCTTTCCATGCATGGCAGCCATGAACAAAGGGGTTTCTCCTCGGACGTTTGTGAGCTCAAGCAATGGCCTTTTCTCCTCCATTTCTGGTGGGTGCAACTCATCTTCAAACGAGAAGACAACACCAGCCATTTCGATCACATTTTTGGAGAACACAACCTCGTGCAAGACAGTGTTTCCCTCACGATTCTTCTTGCACAAAGCTTGCCACCTTTCTGCTACAGGCACCATTTGTATCAACTCTTGGAGGAGTCGAGGGTTGTTGGAGCCAGTTGCAACATGGATGGCAGTGTTTTCGAACAGGTCAAACTGCTTGAGGATGATTTCCTGATGTTTCATCATTGTTTCCTTGAAATCTTTCCATCGATTTTCCATGGCTTCCGTTTGAGCCTTTCTCATCTTCTCACAAAACAGTGGAACTCTTTCCATTCTCTGCTGATCTACACCCTCCATTGTCTCCATTTCATTCACTCTTTAGCACTGAGATTTTGTCTGTTCACTCACTTTATATGTACACATGTACATGCACTGTGCTTTGCTTATGAGAAGAGCAAGAAAGAGAGAGTATAAAGTGATGAGAATCATGTGATAAAAAAGAATTTTATATATTTAAAATTAAAATACAGCTAACAATTAGTAATCGTTTGAATTTTTTTATTTTAATTATTTAAGTATGACTTAATAATTTATATTCAAAATTATTATTTTACGATAAAATTATTCATAAAAATAAACATTCTAAATTAAAATAAAAATCTAAATAACTTTCCGGTTCCAATTCAATTTTTTAGTATCTATTTAATAATTTTATTTTCAAAATTGATGCTTAATAAATTAAAATTTGGTTTAATTTTCTTTTTTTATCTATGGTGGTTTTCTTAACTAACTGTCTCTTTATATAGAGACTATTTTTGTATGTTTAATTATTTTAATTAATTTCACATTCGCAGTTATCTGAAAACTAAGGACAAAATTTACTGTTATAAACCATAATTAAAAATCACATTGAAGATTATTTAATTATATTTAAATGATAAAAATTAAAAGATAAATTAATGACTATGACTTAGACTATTTATTATTTAGATTCAACGTTAAAAATATTTTATATAATTTTTTAAAAATAAAATCATAATAAATTAAAATTTTAAAATGATAATAACTCACATGTCATTATGAATTTTAAAAATATTATAATAATAAAATTTAGAGTAAATATTTTTGTCTTTGGATGAAAGATGGACACAATATCCTACCAACACAATGAATCTATTTTTCTCTTTTATTCTTCTTTTTTTCGGATTTGACGTGTAGCTCTTTACTTTATTTTTTTTGTCTCATGTAAGATTGAAATAACAATGGAACAGCGAAAAGATGAGAAGAGAATTTTTTTGTTGAGAAATATGCAATTTTTTAAATAATAATAAAAAACTTTGATTAACTTTGAAATTGTTTTTTTTTTATTATTTTTTTTCTCTCACCTATCTACTCTCTATTATCAAAACATGAAAGTACCAACAAAATATCCTGTTAGAATTTACATGCATGTATGATTTCATGATTATTTAAGTGAAGCAAGATATTTGGAAGGTGATTTTGTTGTTAGTTAAAGTTGATTGAAATGCTAAAGTCACTTTAATATTGTCCAATTGGTGAAGAAAAGAATTGTGTTCTCCACTTCATTAAAGCCACACAAAAGTTATTTTCATTCTCTCTTTTTTTTTTTTTGAAAAACACGATCAATCAATGACCCCTAACAACCCTAAAGCATCAACTTTTACCAAAACATCACCTTTATTCAACATATAATAGTTTTTTTTTATCATTTATGCTTGATATTACCATTTGTCTTTTTCTCTTTTTCAGCTAGTTCACACTAATTAACTTCATCAATACTATTTCTGTTTTTTTTATTCAGTTGTTATTTTTAATCAAAATATCTTTTGTATAATTGGATAAATTTTTTTATTGTTATTTGAATTGAAAATTATTTTATTTTAAATTTAAAATATTCTTTATCTGATTTGACAAATTTTATTGAAAAAATATATTAAAAATCCCATATTATATCACATATTTATTAGACTAATTTTGTTAATTGATTTTATATTAAATATTTAATATTATCACATATTGTTCAATTATTGGTAAGCATACTAAAATTATCCATCGTAGTATAGTATTCGATTAAATAAAAGTCGATTCCACGAGAAACGGTTTGAATGAAAATTCTCAATTATATGCTTACTAAGTGGATTAAAACAAATTAAGTTTTGCATAAAGAATTGAATTGAAATTAAATGACAAAGAAATGTAAATTGTTAAGAAAAGATAAATTAAAAGCACTTAGGATGGACTTCCTTCCTTATCCCTCTTTTGTAATGGCTATGTCAATTAAGAACGTTAATTAACCTAACAATATTGATGTCACCTACTCAAATCATCCATGTTGATTCCTCACACATGAAATTCATAAGAAAACCTAATAAATGTTGATTCCTCACACAAGAGATTTTCCAGCATTAGGTTTAGGGTGTTAAGCAATTGGTACATTCATTCAATTCTTGACAATTAACGTAATAAATATTCTTACCGTGATCTAGGGATCAAGATATATTTTCCAATCATATCCCAAAGATCAAGAATAAATAATTTCAAAGCACAAAGGATAAGAATAACGATATCAAAACATAGATTAATATCTCAAAATATCATCATGATACAAAAGAGTTCAAAGAAAGTGCACCAAATCCCAAGAGAATGAAATTAGCCACTCATGTTGGCCATTACAATGCTCCAAATGAGGAAGAAGTAAATAATTGATGAAGATTGGACGAAACCCTAACAGTAGTCGTGCCTCTTCTCCCCAAAAATACCTCCTCCTCTTAAAGCTCGTCTTATCTTTTTATAGGAGAAATTGGGCTTTTGGGCTTCGCGTCTTTCGCTCAAGCGACAACACTCGCTCAAGCGAAAGTTCCCTATTTTTGCTCAGGCGACAAATCGTTCACTTGAGCGAGTGAGCTCTAGAGACGAATAACTAATAATCGCTCAATCGAATTTACTGGCGCTTGAGCGACTGACTTTCAGAGAAAAATAACTGATATTCGTTCAAGCGAGAGTCTATCTTGCTCGAGCGACTTCCATACTAAAAATCTTCTTCCTCCTTTCAGTTTTGCTCCAATTATGTTGACAATTATGCTCCTTACTCTTGTATCAAGATATTATCGAATTCATCCTACATTGGGAGAAAAAAATAGATTAGAATTAACATAAGTTAAGTGATTTCATAACAATTTAAAGTATAATTATATCAACTTTTTACCACTTAACAACTCTCCCCAACCTAGAATCTTGCTTGTCCCAAGCAAAGTAATTTTTCCAAAACAAAATCATCACCTATTATCACTTTCTCTTTCAGAACCACAACATAAAAATAGCTTTTCAGATGTGATGTTCACAACTCTAAATAAAAATAGAATACATAAGCATTCAAGTTATAGAAACTAACAAAGAATAATTAGTCCTCAACTATCATCTGAGAAACATGATCTCTCAAATAGAGTGATATATAATCATCTCTAACTCTCACGAGTAAGTGTTGTCTCATTCAATCACTTCATTTAGACAATCAAATATTGATAATCATCTTCAAGCAATCAACATTTGTTAAGCAAGACTTAAATCAAAAGGTCTTTTGAGGCTTGTAATGGGGCTGGGCTAAGAAAAAATTCATTGGTTTTTCTGGGATATACAAAAGTATTTGAAAAATTCAAATCATATGAATGATTCTTGTTTAACATTTCCTCAAGTCAGGTTTCAGACTTCATACTTTTGCTCCAACATCAAGATAGTGCATTAACCATTTCACCAATTATCATTCACACCAATTTGAATTTCGTTTTCCTTTCTTCATGCTTTGCATTTATCATTTCGACTTAACCTCAAATTTTATGTTTTTCTTTTCCTTTTTCTCAACCTCTTTTTCCCCTCTTTTTTTTTTTACATACCCAACAATACCCGTAGGAAAACAATAACAATACCCAACAATACCTGTAGGAAAACTGATAACATTCATAATCATTTCATTTCTCAAATATAGGAAGGTGGATAATTATTGTTTAGGCTCAAGGGTTATGTTTAAGAAAATATCTTATTTTTGGCTCAAATGGGGTTCAAATGGATGCCCTATAATTAATGCAGGGTTGACTATTTGGCTCTGGGTTATATCTACTACACAATAAAAAAAATGTCTTTATCATTTTCAAGTCTCGCTAACATGCAATCACGACAAAGAATCAATCAATACCAGTTATCATCATAAAGTGTTGACTCTCAATTTGAACTGTTTGTGGTACTCTACTCATCTTTGTTTTGGCTAGCTTCTCTAATTCAGTTAATTCCTAGTTATCTCCGTCAATTCCTGTTTCACTATCATACTCAACATCCCAAAATCACTTGTTATTGGAAACAATCAAAATAATTTTTCACGTTCCAGATTTGAATTAGACAATAAACAATAATCTCATATATGGCTCTAATAAAAATTTTATGGGATAACAAATAAATTTAATCACATCAAATTTAGAACATTAATCAACTTTAAGTACCATATGTCAATTCAAAACATTAAAAACAAAACAATTTAAAATAAAATAAAAACTTAAAAATATCAAATTAACAAAACAAATAACTTAACACAAAAAAACTTAAACTTAAATTAAATTATTGTCTCCCTTTTATTCTTCTTCACTTGTTGATTCTCCTTCTTTTTCTTGTGTCTTAGCCTCAACTGCAGACTTTCTCACCCCCTCTTGGAAAAGTTGGACTGTCCCCAGGCCATTGAAGTAAGGCTTCAAAGTCTTGAGGAGAAGTTCATTGTGTACCTGGAGAAATCTTGCAAAGAAAGAACCTAAGGAAGAAAAATGTATAAAAAACTTAAACTGCAAAAAGAGAAAAAAAAAATTCAAAACATTGAGTTGTCTCCCAGGAGCGCTTGTTTAACGTCTTCAGCTCGATACCTATTTGCTTTAAGGCTCATGCAGGTGAATGGTCAAGGTGATCTATATGCATTCTCCATCCCTTGAATGTCCTTGTGGGAATGAATTTATTCTTTTTATTGCGAATAACTATCATCCCAGGATTCACCTTACGACTGTCAGAGATTGGGTAAATCATACCTACTTCAGGAGTTTTCAGTACCTCTTTTTGAACAACTTCCTTCATAGTCAGATTGAGATGTCTTTGGGGTTATGCAACAGACTTGTAATCTTGTTTTTCAGTTGAGATGAGTAATTCCTCCTAAATATCTATTCTGAGGCAATCTTTCTTATCTTCCAGTTGTTGTGCAACTTCAAATAGATTAAAATTAATATCATCATTTCCACTTATAATTTTCAACTTGCCCTTATCAACATCTATAATTACTTTGACAGTCTTCATAAATGACCTTCCTAGGATTAATG